CCTCCCTCCCTCCGTTCCTGCCTGGCTCACATTGTGTTTCTGTACTTCAGTTACTCCTCTGCAGGAGGGGAGGGTGGGAGGAACTCTAATCCAGGGTGTTTTACTGACTTCAGCGGGCAGTAGTGATGTCATTGTGATGTCAATGCCTGTAATTGTAATCAGGCTGTAAAGTTGGCAAGTGAGCACTCTGATACAGAGAGCTGAGAGGAAAGGAGAAGCGGGAGCAAAGGAGATTTAAGTAAAGCAGAAAAGGATAGTGGTAGAGGAGAGTTTTCGTAGTGAGGTGTCTCTCTGCCGTGGTGCTGGATTATTGGAAACCAGAGATGGCTGTAACTGGGGATGAGACTGAGTCAGGTAGAGCTTCTTCACATGTTTAATAATGTGTTCTCTGCAACACTCTGACTCTTTTCTCTGTGCTTTTTCGAGAGATATTTGTGCATGTTTTGATTTGATGTCTAGCTCTAATTATACCTGAATGTAAGTCCTCTTAAAAATATGCTTGTGGTATTTGGAGCTTCTAATTGTAAGAGGATCTCTTTTATTCAGTAAACTGTGAGAGCAGAAGCTTTTGCATTCAGGGGCATATTTATGAAATTGAAATTACTTTTACTCGACTTTCAATTTCATGCCTTGTGAAAGGGAAGGTGAGTCTTTACACAGATCATACCGGTGTCCTTGCAGTTGCAAAACAGGAAAAACACTCATGACAGTTCAGGGTTGAATTCAGATCTAGCAAGTAAACAAGCATTTAGTTAGTATGCTCAGCGTTGCTCCATTCAGACTCTTTCTCGCTGTTGCGAGTATGTTCACACACACGCGCGCACACACACACACACAGTCTTTTAATCGCTACAGTGGTTGTTGGGCAGACAGGCAGGGAGGGGGTAATAAGTAAGGGAGAGGTGGGGAGGGGGTGGTAAGATAGTTGGGGGTTTGACGTCACTCCAGTTTCCTGGAACAGAAGCCAGGCAGGGAAGAGAGAATGCAAACGGGCAAGTGAGACGCACGCACTGACGTCAGCACAGCCCGAGTCACTCTGTTATCACAATGAGAGAAAAAGAGACAGACGCTCTGTGTGTCTGTGCGTGTTTGTGTGTTCGCACCTGCTGTGTCTCTTTCTGAATGAGTGTGTGTGTGTGTGTGTGTGTGAACAGCAGGTCAGGGCAGAGCAATGAAACTTCTCAGGAACAAAGTGAAAACGAGAGGGTGAAATGTTACGAGGCAGCAGGCAGAGCAGCACACAGTTGAGTCATGAAAGTGATGACTCAAATCAAACAGCTCATAAACCACATCCACAGAATCGCTTTGTTTTTTCAGCCTTTTCCAGAATTAGCATCACTTTCTTTTAAGAATTCGAGAGGCTACCAGTTATCAGTAGCACACAGTGGTTTACAAAAACGTCACCTCCCAAATGCAAGTGCTGTTATCTCGTTAGAGCGATACCAGATCTTGTGAGGAAACAAACTAAACTTATGGGTTTATTCTACTGAGAATAAACGCAGTCATATTGTTTGCAGTTTATCATATGTTTCAGTAAATGTTAGTATAATATAAAGGCAATAATGACTCTATTCAAAAATCAAACGGTGAGCAGCTTATTTAGATTGGACAGTCTGATAACAAGTTGTTTATTCTGCGCCGCTTCAGGCTATAAAGTTACATTGCATTACATTAGCAATAGCAGGACCGAAGGTGTTTTAGAGCAGCGGTCCCCAACCCCCGGGCCTCGGACCGGTACCGGTCC